GATTTGGGGTTCGCTGGGATTTTGGGAGTGCCGGGAATTAAGGGGTTAAACGGTCTCGCCATTTTTCCCTGGGCAATTGGGGGATTTTTTGGGGATTTTTTGGGATTTTTGGGGAAGGGCGTGGTCCCGACTTTATTTTTTGGGCGGTCGAATTCTTCTTTTTCCAGGATTTTGGGGAGCTGGGTGTGCCCAAACCCCCCTGGTCCCGGGATTTTGGGGGGTTGGGCGCGGCCAGACCCCCCTGTACCCAAAATTTGGGGAACTGGGAATTCCAAAATCCTCTTTTTCCCGGGATTTTGGGGATCTGGGAGTGCCCAAACCCCCCTGTACCCAAAATTTGAGGAACTGAGTATTCACTAATCCCGAGTTTTCCAGGATTTTTGGGGATTTGGGAGTGCCTAAATCCCGATTTTTCAGGATTTTTGGAGTCTGGCAGTGCCCAACCCCTCTGGACCCAAAATTTGGGGAACTGAGTATTCACAAATCCCGATTTTTCCAGGATTTTTGGGGATTTGGGAGTGCCCAAACCCCCCTGTACCCAAAATTTGGGGAACTGAGGATTCACAAATCCTCTTTTCCCGGGATTTTGGGGATCTGGGAGTGCCTAAATCCCGATTTTGCCAGGATTTTTGGAGTGTGGGATTGCCCAAACCCCCCTGTACCCAAAATCTGGGGAACTGGGAATTCCCAAATCCCGATTTTCCCAGGATTTTTTTTGGGATTTGGGACCATCCAAACCCCCCTGTAGCCAAAATTTGGGGAACTGGGAATTCCGAAATCCTGTTTTTCCAGGATTTTGGGGATCTGGGAGTGCCCAGACCCCCCTGGACCCAAAATTTGGGGAACTGAGAATTCCAAAATCCTCTTTTTCCAGGATTTTGGGGATCTGGGAGTGCCCAGACCCCCCTGTACCTAAAATTTGGGGAACTGAGAATTCCCAAATCCTGTTTTTCCAGGATTTTGGGGCTCTGGGAGTGCCCAGACCCCCCTGTAGCCAAAATTTGGGGAACTGGGAATTCCCAAATCCCGATTTTCCCAGGATTTTTTTCGGGATTTGGGACCATCCAACCCCCCCTGTACCCAAAATCTGGGGAACTGGGAATTCCCAAATCCCGATTTTCCCAGGATTTTTTTTGGGATTTGGGACCATCCAAACCCCCCTGTAGCCAAAATTTGGGGAACTGAGAATTCCAAAATCCTCTTTTTCCAGGATTTTGGGGATCTGGGAGTGCCCAAACCCCCCTGGTCCCAAAATTTGGGGAACTGAGAATTCACAAATCCCGATTTTTCCAGGATTTTTGGGGCTCTGGGAGTGCCCAAACCCCCCTGTACCCAAAATTTGGGGAACTGGGAGTTCCCAAATCCTGTTTTTCCAGGATGTTGGGAATTTGGGAGTGCCTAAATCCCTTTTTTCCAGGATTTTTGGGGTTTTGGGAGCGTCCAAACCCCCTTGGACCCAAAATTTGGGGAACTGAGAATTCCCAAAATCCTCTTTTTCCAGGATTTTGGGGATCTGGGAGTGCCTAAATCCCCTTTTTCCAGGATTTTTGGGGGTTTGGGAGGGTCCAAACCCCCCTGGACCCAAAATTTGGGGAACTGGGAGTTCCCAAATCCTGTTTTTCCAGGATGTTGGGAATTTGGGAGGGCCTAAATCCCCTTTTTCCAGGATTTTTGGGGGTTTGGGAGGGTCCAAACCCCCCTGGACCCAAAATTTGGGGAACTGGGAGTTCCCAAATCCTGTTTTTCCAGGATGTTGGGAATTTGGGAGGGCCTAAATCCCCTTTTTCCAGGATTTTTGGGGTTTTGGGAGGGTCCAAACCCCCCTGGACCCAAAATTTGGGGAACTCCACATTCCCACTTCCTCTTTTCCCACAATTTTGGGGTTCTGGGTGTTCCCAAACCCAAATTTTTTCCAGGATTTTGGGGTTCTGGAAGTGCCTAAATCCCTTTTTTTCCAAGATTTTTGGGGTCTGGGGTTCCTAAACCCCAAATTTTTCCAGGGTTTTTGGGCTCTGGGATTTCCCAAACCCCCCTGCTCCCAAAATTTGGGGAACTGGGTTTTTTCACATCCTCTTTTTCCAGGATTTTTGGGGCTGGGTGAGCCCAAATTTCCTCTTTTCTCACCATTTTTGGGGTCTGGGTCCTCCCAAATTTCCCTGAACCCAAAATTTTGGGGGTCTGAGGGTGCCTAAATCCCAATTTCCCGGGATTTTGGGACTCTTTGTGTCCTTTACCCAAATTTTCTGGGATTTTGAGTAGAAATTCTCAAATTTTCCTGGAATTTAGAGCAGAAATCCCCAATTTTCCCTGGATTTTGAGTAGAAATTTCCAATTTTCTTGGGATTTTGGAAGAATTCCCAAATTTTCTGTGACTTTTGAGTAGAAATTCCCAATTTTCCTGGAATTTTGATCAGAAATCCCAAATTTTGCTGGGATTTTGAGCATAAATCCCCAATTTTCTAGGGTTTTGAGCAGAAATCCCAAATTTTTTGTGAATTTTGAGTAGAAATCCCCAATTTTCTTGGGATTTTAGAAGAATTCCCAAATTTTTTGTGAATTTTCAGTAGAAATCCCCATTTTTTTCCTGGAATTTTGATCAGAAATCCCAAATTTTGCTGGGATTTTGAGCATAAATCCCCAATTTTCTAGGGTTTTGAGCAGAAATCCCAAATTTTTTGTGAATTTTGAGTAGAAACCCCCAATTTTCTTGGGATTTTAAGAAGAATTCCCAAATTTTCTGCTAATTTTGAGTAGGAATCCCCAATTTTCTTGGGATTCTAAGTAGAAATTTCCAATTTCTCAGGATTTTGAGTGGAAACCCCCAAATTTTCTAGGATTTTAAGAAGAATGCCCAAATTTTCTGTGGATTTTGAGCAGAAATGCCCAAATTTCCTGGGATTTTGAGTAAAAATCCCGAATTTTCCCAGGATTTTGAGCAGAATCCCCAAATTTCCCAGGATTTCCCCCCAATTTTCCCTTTATTTTGATCAAAAATCCACAATTTCCCTATGATTTTGAGCGTAAATACAATTTTTTTTAAATTTTAAGCCCAAATCCCCAATTTCTTGCAATTTTGACCAAAAAAAATCCCTGATTTTCCCAGGATTTTGACCAAAAATTTCCAATTTTTCTGGGATTTTGAGTAGAAATCCCAAATTTTCTGGGATTTTGAGTAGAAATCCCAAATTTTCTGGGATTTTGAGTAGAAATCCCAAATTTTCTGGGATTTTGAGTAGAAATCCCAAATTTTCTTGGGATTTTGGAAGAATTCCCAAATTTTTTGTGAATTTTCAGTAGAAATCCCCATTTTTTTCCTGGAATTTTGATCAGAAATCCCAAATTTTGCTGGGATTTTGAGCATAAATCCCCAATTTTCTAGGGTTTTGAGCAGAAATCCCAAATTTTTTGTGAATTTTGAGTAGAAATCCCCAATTTTCTTGGGATTTTAAGAAGAATTCCCAAATTTTCTGCTAATTTTGAGTAGGAATCCCCAATTTTCTTGGGATTCTAAGTAGAAATTTCCAATTTCTCAGGATTTTGAGTGGAAACCCCCAAATTTTCTAGGATTTTAAGAAGAATGCCCAAATTTCCTGGGATTTTGAGTAAAAATCCCGAATTTTCCCAGGATTTTGAGCAGAATCCCCAAATTTCCCAGGATTTCCCCCCAATTTTCCCTTTATTTTGATCAAAAATCCACAATTTCCCCATGATTTTGAGCGTAAACCCAATTTTTATTTTTAATTTTAAGCCCAAATCCCCAATTTCTTACAATTTTGACCAAAAAAATCCCTGATTTTCCCAGGATTTTGACCAAAAATCTCCAATTTCCCTGGGATTTTGAGCATAAATCCTAAATTTACCAAGATTTTGATCAGAAATCCCCAATTTTCCCAGGATTTTCAGTAGAAATCCCAATTTTTCCCATGATTTTTCCCAAATTTCCTGTGATTTTGATCAAAAATCCCTAATTTTCCCAGGATTTTCAAGAGAAATCTCCAATTCCCCCATGACTTTTAATGGAAATCCTGATTTTTTTCAGGATTTTAAGCAGAAATCCCCAATTTCCCTGTGATTTTCAGCAGAAATCCCCAATTTTCCCAGGATTTTCAAGATAAATCCCCAATTTCCCCAAGATTTTTAGTGGAAATCCTGATTTTTTTTTCAGGATTTTAAACAGAAATCCCCAATTCCCCCATGACTTTTAAAGGAAATCCTGATTTTCTTCCGGGATTTTCAGCAGAAATCCCCAATTTCTCCAGGATTTTTAATGGAAATCCTGATTTTTTTTTTCGGGATTTTAAGCAGAAATCCCCAATTTCCCTGGGATTTTAAGCAGAAATTCCAAATTTTCCCAGGATTTTCAACAGAAATCCCCAATTTCCCCATGACTTTTAATGGAAATCCTGATTTTTTTGGGGGATTTTAAGCAGAAATTCCCAATTTTCCTGGGATTTTCAACAGAAATCCCCAATTTCCCCATGACTTTGAGTGGAAATCCTGATTTTTTTTCCAGGATTTTCAGCAGAAATCCCCAATTCCCCCATGACTTTTAACGGAAATCCTGATTTTTTTTCAGGATTTTAAACAGAAATCCCCAATTTCCCCATGACTTTTAATGGAAATCCTGATATTTTTTCTGGGATTTTAAGCAGAAATCCCCAATTTCCCCATGATTTTTAATGGAAATCCTGATTTTTTTTCTGGGATTTTCAGCAGAAATCCCCAATTTCTCCAGGATTTTTAATGGAAATCCTGATTTTTTTTCGGGATTTTCAACAGAAATCCCCAATTTCCCCATGACTTTTAACGGAAATCCTGATTTTCTTCCGGGATTTTCAACAGAAATCCCCAATTTTTTTAAATTTTAACCCAAACCCCCGTTCCTCAGTGCGCCACAGCATCATCCAGACGGAATTCTACCAAAAATCCCTGGATTCCAAGGCGGACAGCGAGCAGTACATGTTCGACTTCGACGGCGACGAGATTTTCCACGTGGAGAAGGAGGAGACGGTCTGGAGGCTGCCGGAATTCCAGGAATTCGCCAGTTTCGAGGCGCAGGGAGCGCTGCAGAACATCGCCATCGACAAGCAGAACCTGGAGAATTCCATGAAGGCCTACAACAATTCCCGAATTCCCAGCGGTAACCCGGGAGGAGGAGGAGGAAGGAATTTTGGGGGGTTTTGGGGAGTTTTGGGGGTTTAAGGGGGTTTGAGATGGTTTTGGAGGGATCTGAACCAATTCCAGGGGTTTTGAGCCAATTCCAGTTGGATCCAACCCAATCCCAGTTGGATCTGACCCAATTCCAGTTGGATCCATCTCAATCCCAGTTGGGTCCAACCCAATTCCTGAGGATTTCAACCCAATTCCAGAAGGATCCTGGTGGAATTCCAAACCTTGGTGTCCCTCAAACCCAACCACAGTTGGTTCCACCTCAATCCCAGTTGGATCCATCTCAATCCCAGTTGGATCCGACCCAATCCCAGTTGGATCCGAGCCAATCCCAGTTGGATCCAACCCAATTCCAGTTGGATCGAACCCAATCCCAGTTGGATCGAACCCAATCCCAGTTGGATCTGACCCAATCCCAGTTGGATCCAGCCCAATCCCAGTTGGATCCGAGCCAATCCCAGTTGGATCCAACCCAATTCCAGTTGGATCCGA